CCACGAGACTTCTACTTGTGAGTCATATTTTACATCGCGGCAACTTCTAACGCGAACCCCCGAACATCGAGGTGTCCGCTGAATCCTAGCCATCATTTTTGGGTTGTGTAGCAACCCTTTATATTTGGTTTCACATTTTGGGGATATCATTCGAAGAGTGCTATTTACGCACTTTTTGGAGCACTCGTTTGAATGTTTTGAAACTGTGTTCAAACGGATGCCTCAAAGAGTGGATAAAAAACACTCTTGGATGAGATCTCCAAAACAAGTAAGCACGTACCGTAGGTATCATGTTGAAACCATGAACTTGCTCGACCGTCACAACCTCGTCGATAAATACGGCGGATCTTGCGGCCGAACATAATATTCTGGCATCGACATGAACGAATGCAATCGAACAAATGAACAAGGAGGTATGAGGTGGAGTGAAGGCTTCAAAATGAATGTTAAAATGCATCATGCAACAACAGAGGTTGATGGGGTCGCTGAAACAGCGAAAACACGTTACCCCAAAGACGATTAACAACCTCTAATTGCATACATAACATATACTAACACCACACTTTGAAACACACATCCCAGAAACACGAATGCAAACGCACGTAAAACCCCAAAGTGAAATAAACACAATGACAAGACGAACACACACCCGCACCGCACACACATACTGTAAGCCCCCGGATAGAAGCGCAGGCCTTGGATAAGCGTCGGCGCTTATAAAAGGATGAGGGCGCTTATATCCGGTCCTCGATTATAAGCACACCCCTGAAGGCTTACGGATTATAAGCGCCACCCTCTTCTTTTTTATTATAATTTTACTGACATCGTTGTAACGGAAATCAACATTTTCATTCCCACATTTTGAATTTCGATGCCCCCCCACCCTCGCCCGGCTCACTGGCAACGCATCCAGTCAGAATGAGCTGTCAAGGGCGCATGTTGACTCATTCTGACTGTGTGTGTTGGCAGGGAATCAATCCTTGCCAACTTGCATGTGAGATTCTCAATGACAGCCTTGTACAATATAGTTTCACATTCTGACTGTATGTGTTGGCAGGGAATCAATCCCTGCCAACTTGCATGCGAGATTCTCAATCGAACCCTGTATAGTTTCGACTCTATTCAATTCGCAAGAACGGGATCTACAGTTTGGTGGAGAAACGACGATTTCATATATGCTATTATATAAGCACCATCGCTTATAAAAATCCTCAATTATAAGCGCACCCCCTAAAAAAACGTGTTTTTTTATAACCCCATGGGCGCTTCTATCCGGGGGCTGACGGTACATACACAAATAGGATTAAGAGCAGACAAGCATAACAAAGAGTTGCACTAAGTTAATTATGTATCAATCACTGCTACCTTGTCCCCCCCTTACTCCCCCTTTCTGCCTTCCTTCCTCTCCCTCAACCATCAAAATCTTCTCCCACCCTTTTCCACATTGTCTTCTCTCTCGATCCCTCCCTGCTCCCCACAACGCGTCTCGCACACCTTGCAAAACAAACAGGTCCATCAGAAAACGAATTGTAGTCGGAAAATGGAGTGAACTATTCAATGACGAACACGCACTTGATTGTGAAATGGAACTTGAAAGAAATATGATAAGCACAAAAGAAAACCGAATTCGACGACTCACAAGTGTGGTTTGAAGCATAGATCCCCTGGGGTGACGCACACCATGCTGGTGTGCAGCAAGGCTCCAGCGAGCAAGGTGCCTTGGTGCAACGAGCTGGGCATCGCCATGCTACAAGGTGCCAGAAAGTTGCAGCAAGGCACTGGCAGAGGAGCAAGCGGGCTGCCGTAACAAGGCATGAGCTCACTGCAGCAAGGCGTGAGCTCACTGCAGCAACGCGTGAGCTCACTGCAGCAACGCGTGAGCTCACTGCAGCTCACCGCAGCAAGGCGTGAGCTCACTGCAGCAAGGCGTGAGCGCACTGCAGCAACGCGTGAGCGCACTGCAGCAACGCGTGAGCTCACCGCAGCAAGGCATGAGCTCACTGCAGCAACGCGTGAGCTCACTGCAGCGACGCGTAAGCTCACTGCAGCAACGCGTGAGCTCACTGCAGCAACGCGTGAGCTCACTGCAGCAACGCGTGAGCTCACTGCAGCAACGTGTGAGCTCACCGCAGCAAGGCATGAGCTCACCGCAGCAAGGCATGAGCTCACTGCAGTAACGCGTGAGCTCACTGCAGCAACGCGTGAGCGCACTGCAGCAACGCGTGAGCTCACCGCAGCAAGGCATGAGCTCACTGCAGCAACGCGTGAGCTCACTGCAGCGACGCGTAAGCTCACTGCAGCAACGCGTGAGCTCACTGCAGCAACGCGTGAGCTCACTGCAGCAACGCGTGAGCTCACTGCAGCAACGCGTGAGCTCACTGCAGCAACGCGTGAGCTCACCGCAGCAAGGCATGAGCTCACTGCAGCAACGCGTGAGCTCACTGCAGCGACGCGTAAGCTCACTGCAGCAACGCGTGAGCTCACTGCAGCAACGCGTGAGCTCACTGCAGCAACGCGTGAGCTCACTGCAGCAACGCGTGAGCTCACCGCAGCAAGGCATGAGCTCACCGCAGCAAGGCATGAGCTCACTGCAGCAACGCGTGAGCTCACTGCAGCAACGCGTGAGCGCACTGCAGCAACGCGTGAGCTCACTGCAGCGACGCGTAAGCTCACTGCAGCAACGCGTGAGCTCACTGCAGCAACGCGTGAGCTCACTGCAGCAACGCGTGAGCTCACTGCAGCAACGCGTGAGCTCACTGCAGCAACGCGTGAGCTCACTGCAGCAACGCGTGAGCTCACTGCAGCAACGCGTGAGCTCACTGCAGCAACGCGTGAGCTCAATGCAGCAACGCGTGAGCTCACTGCAGCGACGCGTAAGCTCACTGCAGCAACGCGTGAGCTCACTGCAGCAACGCGTGAGCTCACTGCAGCAACGCGTGAGCTCACTGCAGCAACGCGTGAGCTCAATGCAGCAACGCGTGAGCTCACTGCAGCAATGCGTGAGCTCAATGCAGCAACGCGTGAGCTCACTGCAGCAACGCGTGAGCTCACTGCAGCAACGCGTGAGCTCACTGCAACAACGCATGAGCTCACCGCAGCAAGGCATGAGCTCACTGCAGCAACGCGTGAGCTCACTGCAGCAACGCGTGAGCTCACCGCAGCAAGGCATGAGCTCACTGCAGCAACGCGTAAGCTCACTGCAGCAACGCGTGAGCTCAATGCAGCAACGCCTGAGCTCACTGCAGCAAGGCGTGAGCTCACTGCAGCAACGCGTGAGCTCACTGCAGCAACGCGTGGGCTCACTGCAGCAACGCGTGAGCTCACTGCAGCAACGCGTGAGCTCACTGCAGCAACGCGTGAGCTCACTGCAGCAAGGCGTGAGCTCACTACAGCAACGCGCAGCTCACTGCAGCAGGGCGCCAGCGCCTAAGGCGCCATTGGGTAAGGCGCCAGCGCGTTAGGCGCCATTGGGTAAGGCGCCAGCACACTATGCGCCTGCGCGCTAGGCGCCAGCGCACTAGGCGTCAGCGCGCTAGGCGCCAGCGCGCTATGCGTCAGCGCGCTGGGCGCCAGCGCGTTAGGCGCCAGCGCGCTAGGCGCCAGCGCGCTGACGCAGCAAGGCGCCGACGCGCAAGCCACCAGCGCGCTGCAGAAAGGCCCCAACACGCTGCTGCAGCACGGCAACAGCGCGCAGCAAGGTGTGAGCACGCAAGAAGGCAGCGCGCTGCTACAACAGGGGGGATATCACTAATGTACTCACGAACGTGCCGTTTACCACGGGCGCTTGTCACGGTCGCTTGTCACGGGTGTTTGTCACGGGCTCCTGTCACAGGCGTTTATCACGGTCACACGGCGATTTCCTGGTGACGGAGCTTGTGAAGAGCTGAGGTACTAGCGTGAACGGGTACCGCTTTCCCCAGAGTTATACAGACTACAGTTCTAGAAACACTTATCACACCACCAGTAATTACAAAGACTAGTAGTATATTATTACTACAACTACTACAAATATTATTGTTACCATGATTTTATTGTGTAAAAATAATAATTTTATGGTCATCTGTTAAACTTTAGTCGTAACATACAGATGAATATGCATTATGTATGAGAAGAAACAATTGTAGATGGGTGAATGATACATGAAGATTAGTTACCTTAAGGCTAGTGTTGCATTTATATCGAGTATTTTGCACCTACGCAACCCTTCCGACACATAGCGTTCTCGTCGAATCTTGTTTCGATCGCAATGATGTATGTCAGCTCTGGACATTCACGATGTGGAGGCTTCATCTTCTAGGGTTGCCGCTGCGATGCATTGTGCGAGGCACACAAGTACATGAACAATCCGCGCTAACGCATGGCCGGGACAAGAATACTACATTCTAACTACATTCTGCTTGTGTTATAAACGTTTTCTGCACGCATTTGGAGTGAGGAAACCGAACATTGAAAGCCACGCTGGCGCTATCATGAGAGGATCCTGCCTTTCGCTGCTTCCACGCGGATTTTCTAAGCTGTCCGTTCTCCCCCATGTCTTGCTTCTGAGACACGTCAGAAGTCTCTCCCGTTTCCGCCATGCCTTGTGGTCAAGGTTGCCTGCGCCGCACTGCACCGGTTTTGGATCGCATGCTGTGCGATCTGTGTGCTTCAACTTGCCGCCATGCACATGCGGTGGCCTATGCTCGCGAGCCATTCATTTGATTTTGGAATTTGGAAAAACCCTAGCGAGGCATGATCCCTGGCTGAGATTCATCACCTCATGAAGGCTTCATTCAGGGGAGGTCGTTTTATGCAAGGCATGTCGTTTCATCCAGGGCAAATTTCTGCGGCACGAGAATGTCGTTTCATCAAGGCAGGTCGTTTCATTCCCTGAGCCTGGGTTTGCAAAAGCCGTGCTTTTCCTGAGACTGAGGTGATGGACCGCAGAAACGGGTCTGCACAAGCAATGCAGGGCAAAGCGGGCCCATGTCTCCCGTGTCGTTGAAAATCGACTTGCTGCCATGCTGCCAGCTCCCGAGCTAGGCATCCCTTGTCTCCCTTCCATCGCAGGAGCTTCCTGTCGCAGCTACCTTCATGCCATGCCATGCTTCGCATGCCGTAGCTCTGTGTCGTATGATGCTGGACCATGTGTGTGCCTGATCGTTGCGGTGATTTCACTCTCATCTGCTGGAAACTGCAGCTACGGAGCTCAATCTGCTGCTCTTCTGCCTCTCTCAACTTCTCTAAGCTTTTCTGAGCTTCAACACGAGGGGAGCCTGGTAGAAAAGGAATGACTTTCGATACCTGTCGCTCAAAAACAGGGAGAAATTCCTGTGGCCGCAGTTTCCCCTCACGGCTGTTACCCCACGCACTTGACAGATGAGCATCATCATGCTGCTCAGTCGCTGCGCTCGATGCTTACTCGCGGCTGCACCAGCAACCAGACCTTGGTACAGCCGCAACAGATCCTTCCACCAACTCGAGTCAGATTCCATCCCTCAACTTTCTCACGGAACTGCCTGCTAGAAAGCCATCTTGCACAAGAGGAAGCGCCTGGTTAGGCAATTCTGAGAGGAGAGGAGCCAAGGCGGAGAGGAGAGGAGTCAAGGCGGAGAGGAGAGGAGCCAAGGCGGAGAGGAGAGGAGCCAAGGCGGAGAGGAGAGGAGCCAAGGTGGAGAGTAGAGAAGTCAAAGCGAGGAGAGGAGTCAAAGCTGAGAGGAGAGGAGTCAAAGCTGAGAGGAGAGGAGTCAAAGCTGAGAGGAGAGGAGTCAAAGCTGAGAGGAGAGGAGTCAAAGCTGAGAGGAGAGGAGTCAAAGCTGAGAGGAGAGGAGTCAAAGCTGAGAGGAGAGGAGTCAAAGCTGAGAGGAGAGGAGTCAAAGCTGAGAGGAGAGGAGTGAGAGGAGAGGAGTCAAAGCTGAGAGGAGAGGAGTCAAAGCTGAGAGGAGAGGAGTCAAAGCTGAGAGGAGAAGAGTCAAAGCTGAGAGGAGAGGAGTCAAAGTTGATAGGAGAGGAGTCAAATCTGTTCAGAGAGGAGTCAAAGGGCCTTCGACGAGTCAACTATTTATTCTGTTCAGGCCAGACTAGCATAGCAATTATGGCAGTTCGACCGGACGTTCTCTTTAACCGAATGGCAGGTGATGACCGCGACATCACCGCCGTCCCTCTACTGACCCACGACTGTCTTTCGCAAGATCTTCATGTAAAACCACCTTTATCCACCCACGGAACAACCCCAACGACCCAGAACCACGACGACTGGATTTCTTTTCAAGAGGCAGCAAAAGTGTTGGAGCTCGCTGCAGGTTGCGCAGTAGCAGCAGTGAATCAAATCGGGATCGGGGATTGCGATGTGAAGGCAGAGCTCGGCACGCTCAAGGCGAGAGTACTAGCTGAGCTGCCAGCTCTACTTGCTGTGAGCACCAGCCCACACCTCTCCTATGAGGCCCAGGCTGAAGCCAAGGCTGCGGCTGGGTCCGAGGCTGAATCCGAGGCTGTCCCACATCGTGCTGGTGCAACTGGGCCACTTGCTGCAGCCACCGATGCAAGCCTGCCGCCGGAGCAGCAGCTTGAAGGGGCGTGCACAACATGCAATGAGGACTCCTTGCTGCTGGAAGGATCATGCCAGAGCACTGCAAAGCGCTTCAGCTCTACTCACTCCCTGCTGCTGAAGCAACCCGTGCCGCCACACCACGCCCAGGAAGCAGCTGCACCTGCTACTGCAGCCCATCTCCCTTCTGCGATCCCCGCGAATCCTCCTATTGCCAGAAAGCGCCTGCGATCACTGCCACTGGAGCCTCTGAAGGGTCTCTATAAGCCTTCTCCCTCTCAACGTCCCCAACACAAACGTCTGTTCTGGATGCAGCAGCAGTCATTGCCCACTATAGCTTTCTTCCCTCCAACACCAGTAGCAGCAGCAGCAGCAAGCGTGGTTTGTAGCAATGAGGGCCTGAGAGCTCCACTATCCCCAGAAGCAACAGCATCTCGTCATTTCCCTCTGCTTCCTGCTCAACCTGCGCAACAGCGGCATCTCCCCCCTCTCAGGCAGAAGCAGCTGCCAGGGAAGCCTGGGGCCAGATGGAGAGTAGAAAGCTACGGCGGGCGCACTGGAATGATCAGCAGCAGCTCCAGCCCAGATGATTCACCTACCAGATGCCCCCACAATGGAAGAATGGATTCAAGAACAGAGCCATTGCACACACTCGACGGCTGCCATTGTAACCCTTGCTGGCCACTACCCAGAGCAAGTGTCAGCCAAAGGGACGCAGGTGTGTCTCAATTGACAGCAGTGCGTCCCCACCTTGCAGCCTCAGAGATTGCTGCAAGGATTCTCGAGGCACGGCGTGTGGCAGAGTGCACACCGGAGGGGCAGCAGCACTTTGTGGCTGCTGGAGTTCATGACATGGTTGCCTGCAGTGGCAAGATCATTCCTGCTCCTGCATCCCTGGCTTGTCCCGTGCTCATCCCAGAAGAAACCTGCTTCCCTGCACTCCATGCCTTGTCTCCGCGCCCCATTGCTCACAATCAATAACTCCTGTGGTCTCAACCCGTGTCTGCATTTCCTGTAGAGGGTGGTCTCACTGGTCAGTGTCTACCCCATTTGTCTCTCGGCTTGCCTAAGGGTGGAAGAAAGCGGGTTGGTCGAAGGCCCTCTGCCGGCAAACTGGTAAAGCTTGCTCCTGCGCAGCTAGCTCCGGCTAAGGTCCCATGCGCTCGGATTCGCCAGTCTAGACTCGTTTCAATTGCACCGGCATCAACTACTTGAAAGTCCTGTGTGCTCGGCTTTGGCGATGTTGACTCGTTTCTATTACTTGGGCTTGCGCGCCCCAGCCACCTCGTTAGTATAGAGGCTGAAATGGTCAAACTTGGGTCAATGCTCGGTCCAGCTTGAACCACGGAGATGGTACTTTACACAGGATAAGAACTTTGAGACCTCGAGAGACGAATCTCAAAAGCCTATGATTCGAAGTTTTTAAGTTCTGAAGTACCGTAGTAGTTTTCAAGATCAGAGTTATTTAAAACCGAAATATAAAATAGTGAACCCTGTCCCATCTTGAAAGTGTGATGCCGAAAACGGGCCGATCGAGCACTGTTCCAAACCAAACGAAAAGCACTGTGAGCAAATGTGATTGGCTGTCGCCAATCTTTGATTCTTCATGTTCCCGCCAATTTTATTTTCCCTGCGGATCTCCTATGTCGCATGTTTCGTGCTACACCTGCACGACTCTTGCCAAGCGATGGTTTTCATCGCCAGGCCAAAGTTGGTTTCAAGCTGGAACTGGGTTTCATGCTAGCTGCTGCTCTCCGTCCCGTAATCAGTAGTTTCATTCCTAGCATATTATAGCTGACAACAATAGGTGTTTGTTGCCAAGGCAAGGAACCATCGACTTAGCGGGAATGCGTCGCTACTGTTACGTAGCGTTGTATCGTAATTTTATTCCCTAGCGTCGCCGATCATTACCCTTCCGCAGGTGTTAGTTTCCTTTATCGCGCCTTCGCCATCTCCCATACCCTCCAGTCGTTCGTCCGCTGTCCGCTCCCCTCCCACCTTAGCGGGTCTCTCTCCTCCCCCCCCCCCCCCCGTCGCCATCTCTTTCTCCCCTCGCGCATGCATTCGTCGGCCCATCGCTCGCCGCGTCGTCTTTAGCTCTCTCCCCGAAACGCCCTTCCCCCCGCCCTTCCTCCCTCCCGTCCCCTTGGCGCTCTCCCTCTCGTCGCCTGCGCGCTCTCCCTCCCGTCCCCTTAGCGCTCTCTCTACTGTTGCCTTAGCACTCTCTCTACCGTCGCCTTAGCGCTCTCTCTACCGTCGCCTTAGCGGTCTCCATTTCGTCGCCTTCGCGCTTTCCCTCCCGTCGCCTTAGCACTCTCCATTTTGTCACCTTAGCGCTCTCCCTCCCGTCGCCTTCGTGCTCTCTCTCCCGTCGCCTTTGTGCTCTCCATCTCGTCGCCCTTGCAATCTACCCTCCCATCCGGTCGTTCCCTTCATCTCCTCTTGCTCACGTACTCCCCTAACGCCATCACGCTCACATTCCTTCCTCCCCTAACGCCATCGTGCTCATGTTCCTTCCTCCCCTAACGCCATCGTGCTCATGTTCCTTCCTCCCCTAACGCCATCGTGCTCATGTTCCTTCCTCCCCTAACGCCATCGCGCTCACGTTCCTTCCTCCCCTAACGCCATCGCGCTCACGTTCCTTCCTCCCCTAACGCCATCGCGCTCACGTTCCTTCCTCCCCTTGCCATGGCGCTCACGTTCCTTCCTCCCCTCGCCATCGCGATCACGTTCCTTCCTCCCCTCGCCATCGCGCTCATGTTCCTCCTCTCCCCTCCCATCCCGTCGTTCGCCTCCTCTCCCCTCCCATCCCGTCGTTCGCCTCCTCTCTCCTCTTTCTTCCCGACGCTCCTCCGCTCTCCTCTTTCTTCCCGTCACTCCTCCACTCTCCCCTTGCTGGCCGTTGTTCCTCTCTCTCTCCCCATCAATATCATTCTTGTCAGGCATATATGTTATAGTCTGTGCAGGCTGTAGTGGGGCAGCTCAGATGGGCTACAACACTTTAGGGTTTACTACTTGTACTCCTCATTCTGCTCAATGCATTCATTCTCGTTTCTTATCATGGTATCGAGCAGGTTCCCTAGTGGGAACGCTACCTAGGGCCCACCACGATATTTTTTTCCTGCCCGGAGCACGCTTCATTCCTGCCCGAGTCGCGCTCTGTGTGCCCTCCCTACCTTCGAGCCGCCCTTAGTGGCCCCTCTCACGGCCCCTTTGGCCGCCCTCAACGGCCCCTCGCGCCGCCCTTACGGCCCCTTATGGCCCCTTGCGCTGCCCTTACGGCCCCTTACGACCCCTTACGGCCCCTCACGCCGCCCTTACGGCCCTCGCGCGGCCCCCTTTCGGCCCCTAGCGGCGCCCTTTCCGGCCCCTTACGGCCCCGTCGCCGCCCCGTTTACGCCCCATGCGGCCCCTCTTCGGCCCCGTCTAGGCCCCTTGCGGCCCCTCTGCGACCCCGTCTAGGCCCCTTGCGGCCCCTCTGCGGCCCCTCTGAGACCCCGTCGCCGCCACCTGCGGCCCCGTCGCCGCCACCTGCGGCCCCGTCGCCGTAACCTGCGGCCCCGTCGCCGCCACCTGCGGCCCCCTCGCCGTCACCTACGGCCCCGTCGCCGCCACCTGCGGCCCCGTCGCCGCCACCTGCGGACCCGTCCCCGCAACCTGCGCCCCAGTCGCCGCCACCTACGGCCACGCAGCCGCCGCCTGCGGCCCCGCCGCCACCTGCGGCCCCGTAGCCGCCACCTGCGGCCCCATTGCCGCCACCTGCGGCCCCGTCGCCGTCACCTGCATCCCCATCGCCCTCTCCTAGGGGCCCTGTCACTACTCAGCCGCCGAGCGACCGAGCGGCCGAGCAGCCTGGCAGCCGAGCCGCCCACCTGCCGAGCAGCCGAGCCGCCCAGCAGCCGAGCCGCCCCGCAGCCAAGCCGCCCTGCCGCCGAGCCGCCGAGTCGCCCTACTGTCGAGCCGCTACTATTCCTACCGGTGCGCCCCAACCCTTCTTCCTCGGACTGGTGAGCTCACTCCCTACTAGGCCACTGCGGTCATGGCTACCCCCAGTGTCCTTACTTTTGATGCTGAGGGCCGTGCCGTTGACTTTGAGGTCAGGGTCGATGACCTCCAGCTGTTTCTCCAGTGTGATAGGGCAGACGGACTCTCTCTATTCGATCTCACCTCTGGTGCCTCTCCTGCCCCGCCTGCTACTACTGACAGCACTGTTCGTTCCTATTGGGCCACACGCGATGCTGCTGCTCGCCTTGTTGTGCGTCGCCACTTACCGACCACTAAGCGTGTACATTTTAGCCAGTACAAAAGTGCTCAGACCTTGTATGACGCTGTAGTTGTACGCTACTCTTCCCCTGCCACTGCTGCACTGGGCCGCCTCATGCTACCGTACCTCTTCCCTGACCTTGCTGCCTTTCCCACAGTCGCTGACCTCATTACGCACCTCCGCACTAGTGACACTCGCTACCGCGCTGCGCTTCCTGCTGAGTTCTGCGCCAAGAACCCCCCCCCCCCCATGTACATCACCCTCTACTACATAGTCACCCGACTCCCTGAATCTCTCCGCGTAGTTAGGGATCACTTCCTCTCAGTTTGCCCCACCACTCTCACCGTTGACCTCATCGAGAAGGCCCTCCTAGCAGCAGAGAAGAGCATAGTCGCTGTAGGAGCCTCTTGTGGTGACCCTCGCACCCCCGTCTTTGAGGGGTGTTCCCCCTCCCCCCTCTTGCCCTCTGTTGCCTCTGCTGCTGTGGCCGACCTCGTTGGTTTTGAGTCGGTCGGCGCTGCGTCTACCCCGAGCGGGAGACGCCGCACCGGCAAGGGCAAGGGGGGCAAGGGCGCTGGAGGGGCCGCCAAGGGGCGGTGGAGGTGGTGGTGGAGGCAGTGGAGGGGGTGGGGGTGGTGGTGGGAGTGGTGGCGGGGGTGGAGGTGTCGATGGCAGCAGTGGAGGCGGAGGAGGCGGCGGCGGAGGCGGAGGGAGTGGAGGCGGCGGAGGTGGTGGAGGCAGCGGAGGCAGCGGAGGTGGCGGAGGCGGCGGCGGCAACAGTGGACCTGGTTGCAGCTCTGTGCAAAGGAGTGGCTCCGATGGAGGTACGCGCCAGCAGCAGCAGCGCACTCGTGAGACCCTGTCTCCTCAGCAGCTTCGTGAGTGGTACGCTGCGCGTCAGCGCGGTGGGGGTACGGATCCCTGCACCTACGTTCTCCGCACCGGCGACCGCGCTGGTGAGCAGTGCGGGGGCCTGCACTCCACCCAGCGCTGCTTCAGCCGCCCGACAGACACGTGGCGTCACCAGTTCCCTGAGGCGTAAGAGATCCCTTGCTGGGGAGAGCTGTCTAGGGTGGGGGCTGCTATCTTTGATCTTGATTTTGATGCTATTCTTGCTGCCATGTATGCTGTTGCTGATAGTGTTGAGGATGACTATTGCCTGTGTGTTCCGCCTAACCCGGGCATTGAGGCTGCTGCTCTAGGTGCTCTTGAGACTGCTGCTCTAGGTGCTAGCGCGTCTGCTGCCCCACGTGCTGGTGAGTCTGCCCTCTCAGGTACCACGTCGGCTTAGGCCTTACACACCTTCACCCTTGACTCGGGTGCTTCCCGCTCCTTCTTTCGAGACCGCACCACACTTACGCCGCTTAGTCGGCCAGTTGCGGTCTCCCTGGTGGACCCCTTTGGGGGTCCTGTCCTTGCTCGCTTCTCCACTGTCTTACCGTGTCCGGCAGCCCCCTCTGGTACACTGTCAGGTCTCTACCTCCCCTCGTTCTCTACGAACTTGGTGAGTGGCGCTGATCTACAGGATAGGGGGGTTGACCAGTTCACTCCTACGAGTCAGCGAGTGACCCACTGCACGTGTGCTCGGACATGCAGATACTTGGCCACGTTCACCCGTCGGCCGGGGTCGAGCCTGTACACCCTCACTACTAAGTCTACTCCGGCTGCTGAGCCTGGTCAGGTTGCTGCGTCGAGTCAGGTGTTTGCTGCAGCGTCC